ACTCACACACACACACACACACACACACACACACAAACAAACACACACACACACACATACACACAAACAAACACACATACGCTTACAAACATACGCACACACACAAAAATACACATACACTTACACGTACACACGCGAACCTACATAACTACAGTCTCATAATATATTACAGGCTCAGTTTACCATTCAGTAATAATCAAACCATCTTATGACACTTCTTACTTGTTTGTCTAGAAAGAAAGTTTTAAATTAGAAAACAGCAATCTTTCTTTAATTTTTTTGAAACCACTTAGAGCGCAACTTCTTTAAGCACTTATGGACGTAATAAAACGTAAGGGGGTTACACCTGGCAGGAAGTTCTGTGTTTACGGTGGAAGCATTGCTTTAAGGTTACAGGCAACTAGTTATCTCCAATAATTATCTTCTTACATGTTTTGTTAAGTTTCACTCAGCATTAACCTGTGCCTTTATTGCTAAACCTAGACATTCAGAGAAACCGGTCCGGATTCAATAGCTTCTAAGACATTTCAGAGGCAGATCTGTATGATGTTTATCACCAAAACAAACCACATTGAAGAAATGACATTCTAACAAAACCAAGTGTGTTCACACATTTGCTCACTGATCCAAGAGTATTGTAGGTGAAACACTTTTCTAGGCCATTCAAAGTTGTTATCAAACAGCTGCTTACAGGATGTACAATAATTAAATTGTTACAAAACGAATATTTTACATTTTATGGGTACTTTTTATTGCCGACTTCTCTCTTGAATTGATTGCCCTGCTTGACACAAACTTCGAACTCGGTGAGGTTTTGGAGATATATTGAGTATCTGACGGGACCTGCATACCGCGTACGTGCAGAATAGAGAAACAATTATTCCCCAACACCATCATGTTCCTGACGTTTGAGTGGCTCATCACAGAGTGGAGAGTTGGACTCCTGTTGGTGCAACAGATCAATGCATTTATTCCCTTACTCGATTTTGATTACAATTTGCTGCTTCACCTCTGTGATGTCTTGACTTTTGTCTAGTAAAGAACTTGAAGTTGATTAAAATAGACACCTGTCTCTGGGGCTGCTGTCTATTGGCCTTTTCATCGGAACACGCAACGCCTTCAGAGAGCTAGAAGGAAGGCCTTCCTGCCAAGTGTAACCTAGAAGTACTAGAACAAAGAGTTTACAAAATAGACTGACATTAAGATACCATAAAAAAGATATATTATAACATAAACATAAGCCAAGATTGGTTAATTTTGTATGATAATGGAGGAGCGAAAGAATATTATTTTTTAGTGGTTGGGTAACGATTAGTAAACAAAGGGTTCTGAATAAATTCTCCAAAGAAGGAACTACTGGATGCAATGGTAAAATTATAGATAAAAAAGAGGAAGAGGTAAAGCTAAGATATAAAAAATCGAGAGCATGGAAATTAAAAGTAGCTTTTTCTAATTTCACGTTTTGACTCAATTGAATGCTTTATTATACACATAATACTATATTTTACAGTGTACATGAATTTCAGTGCCTGTCTCATGACCTTCTGAACATTTGCTTCGTCAACTAGTACATAGAATACTACATAGTGTGCATTCAAATATAGATTCTACTCCAACAATCACCACATCTGTCGCACACCAACCTTCTCAGAAGTCAATTATCTCAACTAGAAAAACGAACAGGATAACTGTGAAAAACATGTTTATCGAAAGGGTTTACTTTTTATCGGAGCCTTATCCATCTTGAACTTTCAGATTCAGGGAAGCCAAGCCATTAGGTGTCCTTACAGTTGTTTGGAAAGACCGATTTCCATATGTTATTTTTTTTCGCAATTGTCCTTTAGAAAGGGGATGGATGGGGGCATTTCTTTTTAACGGCATACTCAATATAGAGATACATTTTGTCTTTTAGACCAAGGGTGATATGGTCAATTTTGTAAGTTAGGGGTGCCCGTAGTAACGATACAGAGGGGGGGGGGGGGGTGCACATTACTTGCATCTCTTCATGTCTGGTAAGTAGGCTTACCATGCACACGCAGCCAGTAGACTGGGGAGTTCACAACGAGATTAAAGGTACTTTACCATTTTGGGGTTCGTAATAAACATACGTAACAAAAGAGTTCGTCAACTAAGACGATTTTGTCAAAAATCAACGTCATTTTGTAAATGTTACGCAATGAGCATATGTATTTTTAAACTTAAAAACATAATTAGAACTCGAATTGGCTGAAAATACTTCATATGATGACAAAGTAAATTTTATTCTGACGAACGTCAATATTTTCCCCATCATACACAGTTTTGCTATCAAAAAGTCTTTATGGATTTGTAGTGTAGGCCTCAGTCATATCCCAACACGTATTAACAGCTTTCCAAAGCTGAAAACTGCATGGTCGTGGCTTAAGGATACTGGAGTTAGCCGACATTCTGAGTGCGACATTTCCTTAACTATACGTCTCTACGGCAATTTCCTCGACAATCAAAACCCAACCCGGAACGAAATCGGGAATCGTCCTCTGAGGCCAGTAAAAAGAGATTCACAAAATTAGAACATGGTGCGCTCAATAAAGTAAATGACCTTGCGGTACTCACCCTACATCCCCCACCCCCGGCCTCTCAAGCTCTCCGGTCCCGGTATTTAAACTGAGGCGAGAACGTCTACGAGGTCCTGCGTCGATTGCTTGTCCTTTGAGATTCCAATAAATTTATCGTTTTACAGATGTTTTTACTCTTCTAACGATACAATTTAGATCATTTAGCAAGAGGGGTTCGACTCTGCCTGCCAGGACCAACCCAGGCTAGTAAAACCAAGATACGAGATACAAATTCTCTCAACACGGATCGAAATCATATCTTCTACATGCGTCCAACCCTAGACGGTCATATAATCAGGCCACCTGCGCGCTACTGACCTAGATTCCTTGTGGGCTGACACACCCGTGTAGTAAGCCCACAACCTTGTAGATCATTAGTAGTGATAAGCCTACGCAGGGTGCGGCGGTCAGTTTGAATTGTTGTTTTCTCATGCTTTGACACTGGATTATTTCTGCCTAATGCAGTTTGCTTTTCAAGTCATCTGGATTATGTGAATATTTTCTACATCATTGTGTGTGTTGAGGAACAGAAGTGGTGACTAATTAATTAATTAATTAAGATTGACCAACAGTCTTGAGGTCGCAAATTTGAAGTGCTGTTTGGCTGCACTGTAGGCCTACTGTTCATTTTCAGATTCTTCATCACCATAGTACTCAATGCTTTTTTCAAATCATCTGGATTGTGTGAATATCAAATATCTCTTCCATCAGTGTACGTGTTTAGATTAAACCTACACTGAAGTTTTGACCGTGCAAGTTTAATTCATATCTGTCTAAATCCATTCTAAAATCCATGTCTACACAGTGGAGGCCCCCCCTCCTGATCCGTACACTCTTCACTGACTTAGAGCCTCTCTATGCAAACAACCACTAAAAACGAACTCTCCATCCTATCCCTAGATCTGCTTTTAGATTTAGATTAGTTTGTAACACAAACAATAGACTAAAAGGACCATGTAGATATAAATCTATTTATCTAGACTCTGAGCGTCTAGGGGCCCACCCTTGTTAGGTAGGGAAAAGTATACGGATCATAATTATGGGGGAGCACCTTTGTGTTTTTCCCGACCTGCTTTGTATATTAATATCTGCTGTTCTTTCACAGTGCTTACATGCTTCTCTTCTAGGCCTATTTATTGCTTTCATCATGTGTGGTTATGACTCTGTTGGACTGTGACTGACACCTTCAAAATAAACTGAAGGAATAAAAACAACAATGGGAAGAAAATGCTCAGTTGGTGGATGCAAAACTGGCTATGACAGTCAGAAAGGTGCAGAAAAAGTGACCTTGTATGGATTTCCTTCGGATGAAACAGAATGTTGGGCATGGACTGCTAGCTTACCAAACATTTTATCCTATGAAAAGGTGTCAAAACATATCAGTGTGTGCCCTCCATTTCCGTAGAACTCTAACTCAACTCAAGTCAACTTTCTGTCTTTCCATCGCTTTTGTCTGTCTAGAATAATTTTTTACATGTCCGTTAGTTTGAACACAAACACAGGGAAGCTAAACCATTGAGAGAGAGAGAGAGAGAGAGAGAGAGAGAGAGAGAGGGGGGGGGAGAGAGAGGGGGGGAGAGAGAGAGGGGGGGGGAGAGATTGAGAGGGAGAGAGAGAGAGAGAGCGAGAAAGAGAGGGAGAGAGAGAGGAGGGAGAGATTGAGAGGGAGAGAGAGAGAGAGAGAGAGGGAGAGAGAGAGAGAGAGGGAGAAAGAGACCGCCTAGCCGTGGCCGTTGTAATCATTATTATCATTACGACGGTCACTGCTTGCTGTGGGCCGAAGCCTGAGCGGCCGGTGTGTCAGCCCACAAGCAAGGTGTGTAGTTCTTGGGCTGCGCTGCCTGATTTATGATCGCCTAGGTCCAACCACAATACCACAGACGCAGGTCAATGAAGTTAATATGTAATCAGAAAGAAAGAAATAATACAACATTTATTTCAATCTCAGCCAGGGAATTGGGGTGGAAAAAGTAAGTTTAATACACACACACGCGCGCACACACACACACACACACACACACACACACACACACATACACACACACACACACACACACACACACACACACACACAGCGCTCACGCTTAGAGAGAGAGAGAAAGAGAGAGAGAGAGAGAGAGAGAGAGAGAGAGAGAGAGAGAGAGAGAGAGAGAGAGAGGGAGAAAGAAAGAGAGAAAGAGAGAGAGAGAGAGAGAGAGAGAGAGAGAGAGAGAGAGAGAGAGAGAGTAAGTCACATGGTATATAACGTCACATAATTCACAAAATCACAATGATACTTTTACAAACCAGCCAAGACGTGTCGTCATAGTAAAGATCTCTGTTTTTGAGACAGGATAATCGTGGCTTGACGAAAGAAAACAGCCAGTGACCATTTACTTATAAGTTTAATGACCCCGATATTTGAGGAAACTGATCACATATACTGATCGGACATCAAAAGATAATCTACTGGTGATTAAAAGAAGAGTAACACATTTGATTGAGTATAAAGTCTCTTGTTTTGGGTATTTACGCTTTTCCTTTCACGTCAGTAAATTCTAAGTATTCTTAAAAGTAGGTCAGGGTGTAAAAATAACATTTTGATACTTCAATTAGTTTTCACAGAACCAATATTAAAAGATAGAAAATTGACATTTATCCAGACCATTGGTCAGATTTTTTTCTTTTTCGTTTTGTTTTTTAATGAAGTTTTGGTCTTTGTTGGTCAAAAACCGCAATAACGTTTGATCATTGTCCCCACGAAAGATGTTAACTTTAATTCAACATAGAAATCAATCCATCGGCTGTCCCCACCAGGGCAGTGACACTGACTGAAGTTGTCTTTAGGCCATTCCCAAGGGGGGGGGGGGTATTAACATTTTTTTATGCTCAGTAAAATTGTAAATGGGCTTATTTATCAATGCCAGGCTCATACTGTGCCATAACAACATAGGTGGAACTGCTGCTTTTTCTTTCACCATCCTTACCCCTTACCATCGTAGTTTTTCCTTTACTCCTTTTGAATTTTTGTCAATCTCTTATGAACTGCTATTTCCGGGGTGCCTTGAAAGTCGAAGCAGACTTTGTGCTGTTGAGGTTAGAGAGGTGAGCAGAGTAAGCATGATTCCCCGTTTGAACTAATCTCTGTTAACATCCAACCCTTGACGCTCACATGATCGTATACAGTTGCGAGCGCCATAAAATTCTTACAAAAACTAAAAGCCATTGGCATGCTCAGCGCCTTTCTGCCGTTGCCACGATATCTAACGTCAACAGAAAATCTAATGTTGGACATCCTCAACAACAGCAAAATCGAGGCTTTTGATGAACTAATTTCTAGACTTTATTTTAAACACCCAAACAATAAGAAAAAAACACATTCACGAGGTCGGGAAAAATGTCAATGTTCTATTTCTTTATGTTGTTGTTATGAATCCCAACAGAAGCACACCAACTGTTACTTTCATAGCATGACCTACTTTTTAGACTACTTAATAGTACTCGCGTGAAATGAAAGAGTAAAGACTCAAAAGGTTTTTATACACAATTCAAAAGTGATTCCTTTTTTAATCGCTAGTATATTATTACAGAGTGAACAAAGTAAACAACAACTAAAAAGTTACAAATAAAAGTATAAGAACATAAATTGGGTAGGATCAAATAAGGACTCCATTAACAATGTACATAAGATAGAAAATGTTTGTCAAATCCGGCTGGCCATTAAGCCAAGGAAACAAGATCATAATTCGAGTAGCCATTTCTGCATATTTAATGTTTTGTTGAAAGTGGACACGAACAAAGGAAAGTAATAACCAGTGTCCAGAAAGCAGTATGGCTGGTTTTAAAACGTGGCCACAGCTGTGAAAGTAGCAATTACTGTCAGAGGAGTGTATGTCTGGCAGACCCTTGTAAAAGAGAGTGAAAGCTGAAGATTCTATCGAATTTTCCCTGACAGAAAGATAATTGTTAAATAAGATCGATGGGAGAGACCACAGATCCGTCCAATTAGTAGATTGTGATAAGTATACACACTTCATACATATTAACATGTAACGCAATATAATATGAATACTATAATAATATATCAATGTATAATTAATATAAATATATACTGTCGACCATTGTGATTGTGTATAAATCTTGCATATTCAGTGTTTGTGCTTTTCATACCAAGTGAGTAACACTAAATAACCTAAAAAGTATGCCATGTTATAAAAATATTTTGGTGCTTTTAATTTGTGTTCACAGCACCAACGTAACCCCCCCCCCCCCAGAAAATAGACATTTTCCCGCCCTCATGGCGGAGTTTTTCAATTCCTTATTTGTTAAATGAAGTTTGGCCTTTGTTTTTCAAACACCGCAACAACATTTGACCATAGCAACCCAAGAAAAATGGCAAGCTTAACTCAACATCAGAGACGTCGAGTCATAGGCATGTTCCGCTCCAAGCGTTTCTGCTGTTGCCAGGACATTTAACGCCAATAGGAAAATATTAGCTTCTTTTTAGACTACCAAAGTGTTTATAACTTGTAGGCTACTTAGTATTAGGCTAGGCGCACACAACAGTTGCTGTCTACCGGCAACTTGTTTTATACATCGGGCGCTCAGCGCTAAGCAGCAGCCAGGCAACAGTAAGCTATCACCATAACTGTCTTCTTAATTAATTGACGCCATGGACTTCCACGACATAGTTGTTGTCTGTGCTCTTGTGATGGCACTTAGAAAGAAGGAAAGGTAAAAGCGGGTTTGGGTACACCCTTTGACCAGTCAGAGGTTTTTAAAAAGGCATTTTGTCAAACTGCAAGAAGATTTGAGATCATACCCTCCCAAATTTTCTAGCTGTTATTGTATGAGGTCTTGTGGTAGAAGACGGGCTTCTTTTCAATGAAAAACTACATTTTGCAGTCCAAGTTGGATCGCTATCCATTTTCATTTCTTGTGGAAGTGAAACAATATCATTTTGTGTACCTCTGCCAAGTCTGTTGTGCTAAGTGAAACAAATGTGGGGATTGGTGGGCCGTTGTCGAGTCCGGAGACAGGTTTGGTTGCCTGTGCGCGCTGTGTGTCAGTTTGGTATGTAGCACAGGAGGTTTCAGCAACAGTTGCGTTGCCGGAAAGTTGTGACAAAACACAAACTTTTTAGTCTCCAAAAACCCGAGTTGCCTGAGCGCTCGGTGCTTATCTATTTCATGGTTTACATTTGGGCGAGAAAACAGTTGCACAAGAACAAGTAGTATACGAACGTATAGGTAAAGACTCGAAAGATGAGATTTTTTACACAAATAAAAAGTGTGAAAGGAGAACTGTAAATATTAGAAAGACGAGATTTTATCAACATTTAAAAAGTTATACCATTTTAAAAATAATATGTATGTATTTATATCTGAAACGAATTATAATACACAGCGTGAAAGGAAAAGCTTAAAGACTCGAAAGAATGGATTTTATACACAATTAAAAAGTGATGCCTTTTATAAAATAATAACATGTATATATTTATATATGAAACGAATAATAATAATTATACACAGCGTTAGGGAGTGGGAGCTCACCTGGATGTGTCCGTAAACAACACATATTTTACTAACCCTACGCCATAAGTCAAAATGGGGCTCTGTACAATGGCGATCAGCAATAATATTGGGATTGTCTATCTTCATGATACGGTGTATTATTTATGTATTTATGTATATATTATGTATCTGTAAAATATTTATTTACACCATTGCAAAAGACATTCGCCAAGGGTATATATTAAGTAAGATTTATTTTTTTCATTTTTATTTAGTTGATGTATTTCCAAGATGGAGTCACAGCAAGACTGTCGTCAATTCGCCGCAGCTGAAGATGCGGTCGAAAGAAATCCATGATAGTCGGAGTCCTTAACTCCAGGGTGTGCTGAAAGCAGGGGGGCAACTCGTGATTCGTGTTTCGAGAAATTCCAAACCAAGCCTGGCTATAATATATTATTATCATGTTAAAAACCCAATTATTCGAAATTACCGGTGAGCACTTTTAGACTTAGTTACCCCATTGACACAGGTGCAAGTGTATAATGAGCTTGTTCATACAATTAACGTACTTTTTGGCTAGTGAACACGCTGACGCAGATGGCCTACGCAGAGTTCACACTGAAATAGCAATTTCGGCAACGGGAGGCGGTCTTCACAAGCTGTTCAACAGATTGCATATTATGGCTCCATCTAAAATGGTTCAAATCAATTGTTGCTAATAAATATGAATAGGGAGATGTAATAGGGTGTAATTTGGTTAAATAGATTTGGATAACTAGGGCAGGAGCAGCATCGTTGATCAATGAAAACAAAACGACTTCAGAAAAATAACTGAAAATGGAAGGCAACTCGAACATAATAAATTGTTGTTTTTGTTCACTCTCTTATGATTACGTGAGGTCAGATAATTTTCTATTGTCCCAGTAGATCGCAAGAATCGGATTGTGTTCCTATTGAGATACAAGCAACAGATTCAGATAGAGAAAATAACGGGAGGTGATTTGAGGGTAGGCCCCAGAAGGTGGGGGCCCCCATAGTTTTACTATACTGC